TGAATGAAAGTGTGATCCAGTCACACGGTCGTGAAGCTATTTGAGTATTCAACTTGTTTGGAGGTGCTCAGCCAGGGCAGGGGTTCGGGGGTTTGAGTCCACAACCAGCTGTGGGACATGAACACAAGGGAAGGGAGTTGTACTGGATCTTGGCTTTGGGCCCTCTAGAGTTTCAAAGGCTATTCGATTCCTTTACACCCCACCCATAAGATCACGGTGCACCGAGTTTTTTTCATGTTTTTTCATTGGCTGACCTACATGGGCATGTTCTTCTGGATTTCTGGGTCTTTGAAAAGGCCCTCCCTTTCGGCTGCTTTCTCAGGGCATGTCCATGAACGAGGATGAGCAGTTCGAAGCCATCAAGCAGGCGAGGTCGTGGGTTCCGGAGAGGTGAGGGGTCAGGTTCTTGCGGGCACCGACCCATATATAGCGACCTGATGGGTCCTAATGGACCCATTGGTGTGTCACGGAATTCAGAGTTCTTAGGAATCGGAATTGACTTCAATATAGCAGCAGAGGACGTGTTGAAGTCCTTTGCAGTGCCTTACAAAAAACCTCGATTGATTTGAGGTCTTCAAGAAGGTCCTCTCCTTGGGCTCTCGAGCATTTGGCGCCAGGAAGAGAAAGAGGATCCTTTTTCCCTTAGTCGAATTCTTTGCACAAGCAGAAGACCCGTCGACATGTCCGTATTCAGTCCAGTGCTGAGATAGATGGATGATTGTCATGTTGATCAACGCCAGCCCTATAGGTTGCGGTGTTTGTCCGAACTTACTTCTCACAGAGCTGTTTGGAGCTCATTTCGGCACCTTCCAAGCTGCACGCGCCGCACTCGCCACGGCACCTGCCGCAACTGCGATGCGCAGCAGGTGATATTGACCTTCACGAAGCAGGACTTCAGCCGCCTGCGCGGCCTTTCCCAGAAGCTCTTCAGGCACGGCCACAAGACCAGTCAGCAGTACGGAATAGTGCGAGGCTAATCCAGATTGGCAATCCAATCTTTGGGCCCAAAGTCCCTCATTGTACAAGAAATTAAGTTGGCGCCAAAGGATGTGAGGTTTGGAAGATACAGTTTCTTTTTCGGGAGGGCGTCCTTGTGCCCTGCGAGTGCTTTTGGAGAATTTATTGGACCCTGCAGCTGTGCCCAGAGCGCATTCCAGTTGGTAGCATGTGTTTCCAAGATGTCCAAGTATATAATATACCTCGAGGATTTGAGGAATGTGGGACATTCAGTACCGTACCGGTTCAACTTGAGACGTTCAGTGCATCCTTGAGAGGTTGGTTCTGGGTATTTGAGAGGTTTTGTATGCATCGACATCAAGTGAATAAATTGGTGCGACAGGGTGGTGTGAAAACAATGTTGCTCCTCACAATTGTTTTTTGGGGTGCTGGAAACCTTTGAGACAACACCTAGACCAAGGCCACCCAAAAGACTGCCGAAGAAGGCTTGAGACAGATAGAATCTACACCTGCGGTGTTTCATGGAGCTCTATGGATCCGCCCAATTCTCGTTGATCCAGGTACGACCGCTTCCCAGCAAGTGATGAGAAGTCCAAGATCAGCACTAAGCCGCAGACAGAGATGGAGTACGAGCCACTTGGAAGTGTACCGCCGATGTTATGATCCGAAACTTGTACAAAGCCGGTATTGATTTGAGGCTGCAGGAGTTCGCTTGCAACGAAGAGTGTCCCCCTGCAACCATTTGTTCCATAGATCCAAGGGATTCCTTGGAAACATGAGATGAGCGTAGGTCGAAGTGTGCGCCCAGACCGCCAGCACCAGAGCAGGAGGTTTTTTTTTGTTGTTTTTCGCCGACTGCGACATGCGCCAACCGACCAGCGACCGAACGCCCTGCGACATGCGACACGGCCCAAGGTTCGGCTCCGATTTGGACTTCATCTACCCCTTGGATGCTTGGACCCGGTGTGACGTGTGACTCACGTTCTTTTGGACGGGTCGGGCGGAACCACCACCATCAAAAAGAAGGAGCCAGACCGTCCGGAAAGCACCCACTCGAAATGGGAGGCCGCGTTAGCCCGCGTTGTAGACTTGGGATGAATGGGGAATGTGAGTGCATGTGACTGCTCTTGACTGTGCATGTGCCTGTTCAAGATCAATAGTTCCAGCAGAAATGGTTTCAATATGCCCAAAACTGTGCCCATGGGGAACGGTGTTGATGTCCTGGTGTCTTCACTTCGAAGGAGTGGTGTCAAGAGGTGCCCACTGGCCACAAATCACTTCTATTCTGATCTTCTTTCTGCTCTATCTATCGTGTGGTGCGAACAGTGGGAAAAGGCTTGTGAATGGGGTGGGGTTATCAACCATTATATACACATGGCTCGGATGTTGGTCAAGAGAGTTGGAGAGAGGGCCCAGCCAGTGTGCAAAAAAACCTTTTTACCCGGTGGGAGACATGGACATCCATCGGTACAGACATCCTTGTGTTCAGGATTCCTACTGTGGAAGTCAAGCCCTGTCTCACAAAGTTGATGGGTAATACATTCCGGACCACCGCAAGACCGTGGAAACCTCCCACTATTCATTGCATCCTGGTAGTATCCACATGTGTATTTTTATCCTACAGTATTTGGGTGTCATGGTTCAGGTGTCCTGCTCCATCCGCATTTCCCTGGAATCTCCAACCTATACCAGGTTTTGCTTGACTAGTAGGTTCAGGATGATGTGTATTTTTTTTCCTATGGGTGATCAATAACGAAAAATATATGTTGTATTCTTTCCCGGTTCCTGGACAGCAAATGCAAATATATACTGTAGATCAAACATATGGCACATGACTGTAGGCACCCCAAAAGCTGCGAGTAGCGGCCATGGTGGAGCTCCAAGACCTGGCAGTAATTCATGGCGTCCAAGATTTCGCTCGAATGCCCTCACCACGGAACCGGTGAACCCGACTTCAAGTACACTGGATCCTGTCGTACCTCCGAAACGCGGTAGGGGACTGGACCATGGCACCCCAGCCCCCAGTCCCACCTAACCGAAGCTACTTGGAGCCCTAGGGCCGAACATGGGACATGACTCGAACCCAGTTATAATTACGACTGTCTCTATTTTCCGAGTGACGAACGGGCGACTCTATGTGGCCCGTCCGCCCGGCCATTGTCACCAAAACAGCGTGACCACTGACGACTTGGGTCTCCGCGTCAATCAAGGGCCCCATGCCGTACAAAGGCTCCAATCCTAGCTTCTAAGACCTCTTCTGGAAAATCTAGCTATAAACCACCCTAGCCCTGGGTGGTGCTGGTACATTGGCCCCCCTTTCAACCACCTGAGATGTTTCATGGGTGTGCCTTAACCACCGCAGCTCCCGCGTCCAAAGACTTTTCCATATGATATGGTTGTTTGGGTTTCATCAATTGTCATGCTTCGTCGGCGTCGGATGCTTCTCTTTCGATGCTTCGTCGGATGCTTCGTCGTTTTTGTGGCTCTTTCACGGGCTCCGGAGAACCGTTCGGAACCGCGGCTCGCTCGATCCACGACCTGAGTTTCTAAGGTAGTTGGGGTAGGTGCCAGCGTAGGCGCAGTTGTATACTGTTGGTGACAGGAGCCCAAATGGGATGAATTCTCCTTCATATACAGGTGAAAAGCTTTTAATGAACCAGGTAAATGAACTCATTTGACTGGACATGGTCCTATCAAAACACTACTTAAGGACGCACAGTGCACCCGGGTTCCGGGCCTCTTCTCTGATCCTTTGAGCCCCCACCCCCCATAAGCGGATATCTTCCTATTCAACTCAGGGGGGGGGAGTGCAGGGGTGGGTGATGAATCAGAAGGTCTAGTTAGACCCCCAAAGACTTACCCCAACCACCGGAACCTCAGGAGCTGCTTGGAGCCCGAACGGGAATCAAGAGTGGACCGATTCTCCACCGGATCTGAGGATGCGAGTACCTCAGGGGGCTGGCGCATGACGCCCGACGAACCGGAGCCGGAAAGCTCGGAGCAACTCTTCATGAACCGCGCCAAGGCGCGGCGTTGGAAACGCTACGCACCGGGGAAGAAACGGGGAGGTGGGTGATGTGGGGTGGATCTGCTGGGTGGGTGGCGGTGTTCTTGTAGGGAGCAAGCGCAATTTGGGTATTGATCTGGAATTTAGATGGTATAGCCGGTATAGCGCCGCATTTACTTCTGTATTGCGGGGATTTGCGGGGTGTATAGGTCAGTGTAGGCGGCTCTTGAGGTTTAAGAGTCCTTCCATCCGCACAATAGAATTCCCACCTGTTCTATCCGAGCTAAACTGTCCTGCCCAGCAAGAGAGCCTTATCAGTGGTTGAGGACTGGATAAAGGGCATTCCAGCACCTTGCTTTGTACACAGTCGTCAACAATCCAGAGGCTTCTGGAACCCTTTGGAACAGTATGTTTAAAAATGCTTAACATGTAAACAAACACTTCTACACTTAAAATCTAAGTCCTTCATTCAGGCATGGGAAAAGCCTTGAACGACAACACTGAACCACTCCTGGAACTTTGAAAGGCAAACAGGCCCCTCCCAGGTGTCATGGTGTATACACAGATCTTTCGGGTCTGGTGCCACACTAAGCCACTAAGCCCACGAAAAGCTGTTCGAAGAAACACGGAGCTCGACCAATGTTCACCAGTCTGGGCTCCACACAGCAGGCTATGCAACAGCTGCAGCCTGTTGTATCGACAGTCGCTTCAACATGTGGGTTTCGGCTCATCAGTCAAGCCTCGTCAAGCCGTTTGGAAGGGTTTCGGCTTTAAGGGTTTCCTCCACCATCTTCCTGGCAAATATGAAGATCAAGTCGCGTCATGCTTTACCTGGATCTTTCCACCGCGAGATGTTGGCCTTTCAGGTCGGGTTTGATGGATGAAAGGGCTTGAAAGGAGCCAACATTCAGCATCAGTTGAAAGATCCAGGTCTATGAATGCCTTTCTTTCGACCCCCCTTGAGCCCCTGAGCCCAGCACCAGAGGCGCTCATGGCCGACAGTGCCGGTGCTCCCAGTGTGAGATTCCCATGTGATTGGGAGCATCTAGCTTGAGCTTCCTCAGACTCGAGTATTAGAGGCTCGAACAGTACTCTATCAAAGCCCCCCCCTGTTTCGGGGTTCTAATAACCCCGATGGCAGGGGGTTTTTATGGACCGACATGTTTTGACCCTCTGACAGTCGGTGATTGAAGACACTCTTATCAAGGTTTGGGATCTAGCATGGTCTAACCACCTTCTGTGAGGATATATGAGGATATGGTACAGGAGCCCCAGGGTAATAGACCTGGGCTTATGAGTTGCTACCTGTCTTTGGTAGGTGCAGTACCCCTCCAGCCAGTGTTCTACAGGGCAAAGAGCGCAGTTCTACTGGAGACAACTCTTCATCGGCTCCTTTGAATCACCGCCGGTTTTCCAAATGGTAGTGACTCCCACTCCTTTGAATCACACTATATAATATTACATAATAGTATTTTAATATTACTATATGATATATGACTCTATAATATCCAACGGTTTACCAATGGTCTCTAATGGTCTATATGTACCTGGAGTCGACCCGTTCGTACCTCGGAAAATGAGTACAGTCGTACCTGTTTGTTATGGGGTCATGCCCCCATTTTCTAAGGTACTGGGAGGTACTGGGTCAGTCGGGTCGTATATATACCTAGAGCCGGCTCGTGACCTTTGTTTGGATAGTTGACCCTATTTGGGATAGTTGATCTTTTAGAGGTTACTCAGGCTCCATGTGTATATATATATACCCTAGAAGTCCAAAGACTATATTTTGACCAGCTGAAGTAAAGGATGTTCCCTTTCAGTTCCCCTAAAGACCATTCTTTTTAGAGTCTTTGACTCCCAGGGTATATATATATATATGTGGACTCCCAATGGTCTGGACCTTACGTCGTCAGCCCGTCAGGCCAGACCGAAGGAGCCGAAGCCGAAGCCCGGCTCCGTCGCCCCGCGCAAGGAGTGCAGCTCGTGTACTCTGTGGGGTAGGGGTAGGGGTTTTGTAGGTAGGGGTTTTGGATGGATGGAAATGCTTGATATGAATAGTTATTCATTTGTTATCTATGTTTAAATTGTGTTGTTTGTTTTCGATCATTATGGTTCTTTGTTTTGATGTGTTTTTGTTCTAGCTGTTGCTCGGTGGCCTTTATCATTTGCAGCTTCTGTATTTCTTTTGCTTTTGGTGGTTTTGGGGTGGTTTGGCTTTTGATGGCTTGCTTTTGGTTCTCAGTCTCAAGGATTCTGTTGGATTTTGATAGCTAGGTTTGACAATTGTGTTTTGTTTGTTTGCATTTTGTAGCTTTGGGTGGCGTGGCATCTTGGTTTTCTCTTTGGGAAAGCGTTTGGTGCCCTCCCCGACCCCTCCAGCTTTTGCAAGCCAAGCCAAGTCAACCAGACAAACAAACATAACTAAACCAGACAAGGGTAGGGGATGGTGCCAGTTAATGGCAGGTTGTGTGAAGTAAGATATTGAGCGGATGGAGTTTGTCTAGACAGAATGAGGGTAGACCGAATGTTTGTTTGTGTTTGGTGGATTCCTTGCTGCCGCCAGTGGAATCCTTGAGATTTCTTCATATCTTATTCATATAAGTCAAGCGAGGCTCACTGAGGGCATTACTTCACGAACATACATGAACAGACATGCATATGCACAGCATCACCGTGATTGCCAAGATGGAAAACACTAGGATCAACACAGCGATATGTGTCGCTTTTGTGACTCACTGATGTTGGCTGCTTCAGCGCTTTGGCTAAGTGTCTCTTTTTTTCGGTGTCGTGCAAAGATCGGTCTTGCCTCAAGAAGCCAGCTTGGCACTGCCATGATTTTGTCATACATATATATAGAGAAACGCATGATTTCGACATTGCAATTGGTGATTTGAGCGTTTACCAACGGTGTCAATATTAGATGTTTCGCGACACCAACACCCTTGTTTGATTGAAACCTTGTGATCCAACTGTGGCTGAATCAGATTGGCATCATAAACTCACATCTCCCATTGTTTGGTGGTTCTTAGTTCTGGGTTTTATGTCACCTACTATAGATTTACTTGGGATTTTCAACCTTTTGGACATTGAGGATTGGTTTCGCTCAACCCATCAACTGGTACCTTTTCTTTTCCAGGACAGGGCCAGGGAGAAATCCACACCAGACGTTCTTCAGCTTGGGTGATTTCCACCCGACCCAGACGTGCCTTGCGGCGGCTCGTTTGCGCTGAATGGAACCATCCAGGAACTCCTGTGGTTCCGTGACGCTTGTGAAGAACACCTGGCCCGGGCAGCAGGCTCGGCTCGCGGGACCAACCCGTGGCTTGGGAGTATAGTCTTGGCTTTGCGAAGCGTGGCTGGCAGGGCTGGGAAGCGGAAGTGGAAGGCGGGAAGCGGAAAACCCCTGAGTTAAATCGCATTTTGAGATGGTCCATGCAGCGGAAGATGTGTACTGTAGAATCTTGATGAATAACGTTCCTCCCTATGAAGAGGTTTTGCAATCCAAAGGGAGTGGGTTATGTTATTAATCCAAGATTCTATATTGTGGACTGGTTGATGGGTTTGGATTCAGTTTGGATGACTTAGTTTTCGAGCTGCAGATTGGGCGTTGTTTGTGCCAGGAATTTCATGTTGGGATGGTCTTGAGGGGCTCCCCTTTTTGTTGTCCACCCTTGGCCTTGTTGTTGAGGGGTAGGGGCAGGGGTATTGCCAAGTATGTTGGAACTCCATCCTTTCAAGCACCACAAAGGGATTGATTTTCATGACACCCCATATAAAGAGTTATTAAACATGACAGCAACAAGTTGTTCTTTAGAATAACTGAATAACATGGAATGGTCTCTCGTAACCCTGTCTTGACTCATTGCGATCCTTTATAAAAGGCATGTTCAGAGGACGCGGTGCTTATTATCCTAGGCAATACCCAACCTGCTGGGAAGTGATGAACAAAAATGCTACCGCGATCAAATCACACCCATCACCCATTTCCAAGATGGGTCCAAAAACCAGGTAAAACGGGATGGTCCGACCAAATCTTGAGCGGATCGCTCGCACAGGATCTTCTTCCTCAAGTTCCATGACGGTCAGTGCCTGAAGTCTTCGCGGATCGTTCTGATTCGGATTTCTGGGATATTCTGGGTGAGTGTTCTAAGCCTCGTGGACATGATGTCACCAGCTGGACACCGGTCAAGGGAGTTCTCGGCCGCAAAAAAAAACGCTTTTCCAACGCTCCAAACGGCGAGGGTCCGACCAGTGGGAGATGGAGTCCGGATGCCGGGCTGGATGTGGACGGAATGGACCTGTTCTCGGATTGAGACCCCACAAGCTCTTGGCAACGGTCCAAGGTGAAAGCGGGTAACCAAGACTAATGCAGTACCTAGAAGATCCTAGAAGGAAACGACACCGGCCTTTGTCCACCGTAATCCTGCTTGCTGTTGCTTGGGGTATATACTTGGGGGCTGATCCTTTGAACAGGATAACACATCGATCACGGAGCCAGCACTCTCTAAAAGAGACTCACTTATATTGAAATGCACGCACTCATTAAGCAAAGGAAGTCCTCATGTTCCAAACCCATTGGTGGCGTGGTGTGCTTAGGACTGCGATGTAGGCAAACGTGTCATTTAGGTGACTTTAATGTTTGGAACATGAACAATTGACCAGATTGGCAGCGAAACAGCGAAACTCCACATCCAAGCCTTGCTTTCCTCACCCGTTTGGGAAGCTACGAAACCACTTGCTCAAACAACCCACCTGTCATCCACACCAGTCCCGGCTTAAACACAGAGGTAGAGCCCATCCGGACTTCTTGTTTATGTCTTTTGGCTTTTAGGAGCGTTTCTATCGCATACACAGACAATGGAATATTGTCCTACCCGGTCCTAGCCCTTAGGGATCTACATACCTTCTCAGGAGGTACGACTGGACCCTCCTGGCACCTGCATCAAGGTGTCTCCAATCACCATACCTCAGAGGGTGGCAGTGAATCTGGGCACATTGACCCCTGGCCCCGGATGGCCCATCCTGGGTGCTCGGTAGTGTCCCAGACAGATCCTGGGTGCTCCGGTGGTCGGTTCTTCTGGTGGCGCACCAGGTGGAAGAGCTCATGGGACAACTTCTGGAGACGTCCGCCCAGCCTGGCAACCTTCGTCAGACGAGTTGGATTCATTTTGACTGGTTTCAACTGGCTTCGCGTGCGTGGTTCGCTTGCGTTCTCGTTGGGATTCAGCGACATGGCTTTCCATGGCGCCATTGCTCCAAAGGACCGTCGAGTTATGAGTTTTCACTCGGCGTAGTGCCATGTTGTGCCACGTTGCCAGGTGTTTGCACAAATATCACCCGAACAAAGCTCTTTGAATTGTAGACACGTACTAAGTCACTGAAGACGAAAAGATGGGGCCCAATACTTGTCCCAGTGGATGCCAGGCCACTTGTAGTAAGGAACCAGGGGCCCCTCGTTCGGTCTGTTTTAGTTGAACTGAAACGACAGGTATACAGTATACAGTATACCTACGAACTAGTGGTTTGCCTGGATCCATTTGATGTTGTTTTCGATGTTCCTGAACGATTTCTTTAATTTAAGGCCCCATTTTGAGGTCTGCGCGAACGGTCCTGGCTCAACTTTATTAACCATCTAGAACCCATTTGTTTTGATAGGAAAAGACTGTGTTTTGGCTCCAAAACAGGTAATATAAACACCTAGAACATCCTAGAACCCATTTGACCTCCTTTTGATAGGAAACGGCCGTATTATTTTGGATAGTTGATTCTCCAAAACATGGGTCACTCAGGTTCTAGGTGTATGTATGTGTGTATATATATATATACATGCCCCCATTGAGTCTGTTCATCTACCAGTGAAGCCGTTTTAAGTGAATCTCGCTCCACACTGCTGGTTCTAGCTCTTTGGATTTGACAAAGAATTGGTCCTGCATCACTTCAACATTGCGCACCTGCCAAGAACTGCCCGGGATGGACACAAGTAAACCCCTGTTGAACAAATCAGGCTGCGAGGTACCTGCATCATTGCTCCTGATCCTAATGTCTTGGAGGATCTTGGGGAATGAAGAGTGGAATCACAATGAATCACAAACAGTAGGCCTTTTGAAGACTCTTGGATACAGCAGTGTTCTTTTGTCGTGCGATTAAAACCAACTATCGGTGCTGACTTTGCGTCAAATGCAGTTCCGTCGACATGAGCCAGGTTGGACAAGGGCGAGGAGACTGCCTGATGGATGGTGGTGACGGCATGTCATGCGAGTTTGCTCGAATGCTTGCATCTCCAGACACTTCATCTATATAAGTATGCTTAGATTGACCACCTTTTCAACAACCCCAATATAGACATGTATCCCACAAGATCCCATACATTCAGTTTGTGGATATGTCACTGTTTGTTGGGTTGTCAACATCAAAGTGCGTTTGTTGGGCTTTTGGCCGGAGCTCTCAAACCTCATTCCACTCTCGCAAAATACTTTTTTGTCATAGAAATGGACATTTTGAACCTGGATGTTGCGGAAAAACATAGGCGTTTTGGTCACTTGGTCCACTTCTTACAGCTGTGTGATTGTGGGATGTTCACTTTCCCAGGACGCAGATCAGAATGCCTTGATCGATTTCTTGGGCTTTGAAGCTCCTTGGGCTGCATGAGGCGACCAAAAAAACAGGTGAAGCGTCACAGGAGGTGGGTCCAAACCCTACCGGTGGAGGTGGGTTGACCTCCAATGGTCCAAGGACAGATTAGATATATAGTTATAGGGGTATCAAAAGGGGTGCCTATTGGAGGATAGGGGTGCCCATTATCCACGCACTTATGGACTTAAAAACACCCCTTTGTAACTCCTGGTACATATTTATTATAGGTAGTTGGTCCAAATCTCAGCTTCCAAATCTGACGCTCCAAAGCCTGGTAGATTGACCTCCTGAAAAGTAGTCTATGGTGCAGGCTTTGGTGGTCAACCAGGTTTTCTTCCTCTCCATGACCGAAAGGCAAATTCTGGGCGTCTATCTAATTTTTAATCTTTGGGATAGTTTTCCTGGTACAGTGGATTTCTGGTGGTCGAACTCCAGGGGGGCCAACGTGAATTGAAACACAGCTCAACGATCTCGTGTCGTGCCGGATCATCGGCATTGCCCGTTTCCCTAGGCTTTCGAGTTGGTGGAGCAACTCATCGAACGCCGGCGGCAAATCCTAGAGGCGCTCTTCCGGTGGAAGTCGAGGAAGTGCCATGAAGTCGTACTTGGAAGAAGTAGAACTCATGTGATATCATGAGAAAAAGAACACGGGGCCCATGTATGCCCATGTCTTCAAGATACTGAAAAAGTTGTCTTTGGGGGCATTGCTTGTGCTATCTTATTACTTGTGTTACTGTTTTTGTAGAGAAATGTGTAATAGAGTGTAAAAGTTGGCAGATCCCCCAATCAATGGGCATTCTCATGGGTTGCCAGCCTGCTATAATTGAAGCCATTTGCACAATGCGGGTTATACTTTGTTTGGAGATTCCCATTGCACTGGGCCTGCTGGAAAGCATGGCCTTCTTCGCCTTGCCCTTCGGCTGAGGGTGAGAGTCCACGAGCAGAGAGCCAGTCTACTTATTATCTGGTTATCAGGCCGTGGCGGTAGAGAAGAGACGCTGTTTATTGAGGTAAAATAAATTGGAGGGACCCCGTCTTTCCTTACCTGGCATGTTGTAGAACTCTTTGGGTTCATCAGATGTGAAGTGATGAAAAAGATTTGGAGGATCAATAGGTTCCCAAACAGGGCTCCTAGATCCTCGTAAATCGATATTCTTTCTGTTGGACGTCCCTCACCGTTCAGCCTGTTTCTTTCGTTCACGATCGGGTTCGAAGACCTTTGCCCAGGATTGGGTCGAGTTAAAGAAACAGGCCTCCGAGCTGATCTCCAAGCAGGCGCCATGGGCCATGATTTTTTGGAACGTGCGGATGTTTCATGGGGTGACGGGTTTGGAATTGGAACATGCCAGGCAGCATGGATTTGGGTCGCTCAAGGGATGATCACGGATTTTTCAGGGACGCAAAAGCCAAGCGCAGCAAGACCATCGGTTGGACCCTTGGTGTGGTATACATGTGTCCCATCTTGTACATCTTGTACAGAATGGTGCTTGAAGTGGGACAGGGTCATGTCCCATGTTCATTCTCTGGATTTTCTCGCTATGTATAACATTAATGTATAACATGAATTTCCAACCCGAATACATCAATGGAATACGTTTGGGTTTGCCCGCCCAACGGGAGCACCCCAGGGCACTGTGACGACGGCCAAGCCGCAGCGGGGCACGAGCTTCGGTCCGGCGCTCGGTGCCGCCGCCGTCACATCCGGAGCTCGGGGTCAGTGGTGAAAGAGGGGCGGTCCGACCTCCCTGAATGAGAAAACGCCAGGGGGGGGCGCACCGGGATGAAGTGATTCGACCTGGAATCTGGAACTAGCTGTGGGTGACGTATGGATGGCACCGGCACCCATCACTCGGAGGGCAATGATCTGAAGACTAAACAAGGTTGGGAACTCCATGAAACCATGATTTCAGGGAGAATCAGATGTGGCGTGGGTCTATCAATACCCAGAACATGGTTGACCATTTGGAAACCGGTTGAGCATTTTACGACCATGACCCATCATTGGCCGGAAAAATGGTTGTTGTTGGAACTTAATTTGAACCAACAGCGGATTTTGCATCGTTTAATTGAAGATCCAGGTATAGGGCTAAGCCATGCAAAATTGGAACATGTCCACGAGGTTTTTGATTTGCTGAAGTATATGATGGGCGCGGCCTGGTGCACCTGCCAACCGACCCTTTTTTGCAGCAGTCTTTGTACGGGTTTGCTATACCTCCGCTTGCCATCGTCGGGTGTTTGCGTTGTCCTTTATGCAACATGTTTGTACAAAGAAAACAACATTTCCCCACGAACGGAATGTATATCAAAACCTGAAGGATATTGGCAGCTCAGACTCTTCTGGATGCCTAACATTTCTAAACGGAGACCACCTACGGAAGGATGGAAGCCGGGCTGGGGACAAGACTGATAGCGGAGTCACTAGTAAGGCAGTGATGCCAGCCATGTGGGTGTGTATCAAAAAAGGGAGGCCTTCCAGTTCGACCCCAAGAAAGGAAGGAAAACGGACTAGTCTATACCCATTGCTTGGGGATTTCCCTAATCCCTGGTAGGTTCACCTCCCGTCGATTCGAAGATGTTGCGTCGGCAGTCCACGGGTCGGGCCGGATGCCATGATCCACTGCTGGGCCTTTTGCTTTCTGGGGATCCGTCTGGAGATTGGCAGTCTGTGGAGATCACAGACGAGGTCGACCTCCTCTTTGGTGGAACGCACGGGCTTTGGAGTTTTGGCACACAGAGGAACACAGGATCCGACAGACGTAGAGGAACGGCAGTCAGCGGCAGTTCCTTTGTACATATGTGCATCAGGAACGGCAGCAGTCAGCAGTCCTCTCACGTTGAAAACTGCATTCTTTCATGGCGCACCTGCGCTAAGCGCCTTTTCTTTGCTTGCGCCCGCTGCGAAGCTCGCTCAGTGGAGAAGCCGCTGGAGGCGCGGGACGGCGTGGGGAGGTTGTTAGCAACGCGCGTTCGGAGCAGATTGCTGGTGTTTGCAAACCAGCCAAGGCAGCAGGGCAAGCTTCCCCATCCTGAAAAGAATTGGAACATTTGTTTTCTTGAAGGGCTCCCAAGAAGTCGTTGGTTAGTTAGCGTCACTGTCCGATTGGATCAGAAGAGGTGCACTAGGCATGTTGTATTTATACACGGGCTCAAGCTCTTGTATGGTCAATTCGACGTAGGGTGTATAATTTAGGTGTAATTGACACCCGACAGTGTGACGAACAATCAGTCGCCTTGTGTTGACAGACGCATCGTCGACCCGACTTCTCCTGGTCTTGTCATCAAGCTCCCAGTTTGGAAGTGTATCTTTTTCCCGAGAGCGTCTGCGAAGGGTTCTTCGTAAAAAAAAAAACATCTGCAGAACTATACGTATCATCTACATCTTCACATCTTCACCTCTGCACATCCACATTCTCACCTATATCTCTGCTCATGTTCACATCTGCACATCTACATCTCTGCTCATCTTCACATCCTCACATCTGCAGCTTACATCTCTGCTCATGTTCACATCTGCACATCTACATCTCTGCTCATCTTCACATCCTCACATCTACAGCTTACATTTCTGCTCATGTTCACATCTGCACATCTACATCTCTGCTCATCTTCACATCCTCACATCTACAGCTCACATTTTCACCTCTCGCTCTTCTTAACTTTCTCTCTTAAGGCCGGGGGCAGTGCCGCCGGACCGCCACGAAACGCAACCCTCTGCGGAGATCGTGCGTGTCGGACGCGCGAAATGCAGGCGAGAGTGCGATTTGTCCCGGTCGCGGGCAACCCTCTGCGGAGATCGTGCGTGTCGAGAGCGCGAAATGCAGGCGAGAGTGCGATTGGTTGGGGAGCTCGAAGATGAGAACTGGCGACTTTCTAGTACAACTTTAGTAGGCGGAGTATCTGGGGAGCTGGAAGACGAGAACTGGCGACTTTGTAGTACAACTGTAGTACGCGGAGTACGTGGGGAGCTGGAAGATGAGAACTGGCGAAGTTGTAGTACAACTTTAGTACGCGGGGTATCTGGGGAGCTGGAAGATGAGAACTGGCGACTTTGTAGTACAACTGTAGCACGCGGAGCAATTTGTGTGGAGGTGGAAGCTGAGAACTGACGACTTTGCAGTGCAACTTTAGTCCGCGGAGTATCTGGGGAGCTGGAAGATGAGAACTGGTGCCTGTCTAGTACAACTTTAGTACGTGGAGTCTCTGGGGAGCTGGAAGATGAGAACTCGCGACTTTGTAGTACAACTTTAGTACGCGGAGCAAGCTGTGGAGCTGGAAGCTGAGAACTGACGACTTTGTAGTGCAACTTGAGTAGGCGGAGTATCTGGGGAGCTGGAAGATGAGAACTGGCGACTTTCTAGTACAACTTTAGTACGCGGAGCAAGCGGTGGAACTGGAAGCTGAGAACTGACGACTTTGTAGTGCAACGAGTGCGCGGATGAGTCATCTCTCGCGGCTGAGTCATCTCTCGCGGCTGCTCTGGCGCCCCTGCAGCTGAGTCATGTCAGTCGCTTGTCATGATCGTGACGTCGTTTACTCTCAGGTCGCCCTGTTCGTGGTAACTTCAGTGTGAAATGTACGTTCTTCAGTTCTATTTGAACCTCTTCAGCGTTGTATTTGCACAACTAAGGTTGACGTTGCGCTGCCGTTGCATCGACGCATCTACGTCTACACACCCTCACCTCTCTACGTTTAGATCTTCACACGCTCACATCCGCAGATCTACCTCTCCACATCACCACACCCACACATCTGCACATCTATATCACATCTGTACATCCACACTGTCGCTCCTTCACATCTGTCCTGTCTTTCTTTCTTTCTACATATCTTTTCTCTCGTCTCTGTGCACTTACATCTTCGCACGCTCACATCCACAGTATACATCTACATCTATATCGCACCTGCACATCCACACTGTCACTCCTTCACATCCACCCTCTCTTTCTCTTTCTCTATACATCTTTTCGACAGTGCTGGACAATTACATGTCTCGCTCTCGGGCCAACCGTCGTCTAGTTTCAAGGAACAAGTCGATGACCCCAACACCATGGGGTATCTCGTCCAGTCAGAAGGTGTTGGGTACATCTTTGATCTCTTTGTTCAGTAGGTGTCTCTTTGCATGACGGTGAATGTTGGGATGAAAGGTAAGGGCATTCCCACGGATCTCATGGACTCTGCTACTCTGCTACGGACCTACCGCGGACAGACTGGAGAACATGACTGGAGGACGTACGCGAACGACCAGCACCAGTTAGGTCAACCAATGTATCCTGGCGCCATGACCCACAGCCATATTGGCTGATGGGATTTGTTCAGCACCCTTAAGAATGCGCGCAGGTTTTGTGGTGGGCATATTGCTTGCGCATGCTTTGAAAGACGCAACTTCTCTATGAGGCTCTAGAGGTCCACTTTCAGCTGGTACTGCTGTTTAGGGAAGAATCCTGCAGCACTTAGTTCTCTGGCCTCATCAAACGTATCCTTAATCCATTTTACTCCTAAGGGGGCTCCTCTTGCGAAGGATGGATAAGGATGAACCCGGCAGAAAAGCACAAAACACTCGGAGTTTTACCACCTGTTTGGTACGAAGATCCTCCATATGGGGCCTTCCGAGACCGCCTTCCACGCCTTCCGAGACCCGGGTGATGAGTGCTCCTCGGTGCCGTGGACCTATTGAGAACGAGGGGACGGTGGTGGGGATCGTCAGCCACTGGGATGTCTCGGAGACAGTGGGAAGTCCCATCAGGAAGAGTAGAACTCGAATGTGTGAGTGAAAGGAACAAGGATATATCCCTAGGGTTCCTGGCCCACCTCCTGAGAAGGTGGTTGGGGTGGGTGCCAGGGGGGGTCTAACCACCTTCTGAGGATGTGGTTGGAGCCCTAGGGTATGGAGACATATGGAGACTCTTCATGAAACCACCCCGACCACCCCCCTCTTCATACGTGGGGGGTTATGAATCAAGAATCTTTTTGGAAACAGGTGGACACGGTTTGATCATCAGACATTTCCACATTTGAGGGAACCCATGGCTGGCCAGTCTTCGTTTTTTGAACCTTCGCGCCGTGAAGGTTCAATGTCCAAGCGGGGGAAGTTCCAGCAACAACTATGGAAATTCCAAGAACCATGCTTTACTGTGTATATATATATATATATACATGGTCCTCACATGTGTTTCTTCCAAACAACCATTGTTCAGACGGCACGATTACCAGGGAAGAGCAAGTAACCAGGGAAGAGCATGGAAGTTGACCAAAATTCATACACATGTATTGTGAAGCAAAAACATCAAAGTTGGTGAGTAAAAACAGAGGTTAATTTATCAAAAATTTGGGGCACTGCCACTAGTATTCCACTAAGCTTTCATTGGAGCTGATGGAACATTGTATTAAGCAACTGATGTTCTCAATTTTTTTGCCTTTGTTCAAATGTTGGGCTAGTAGAGGCACGAGTTGGATGTCTCTGGAAATCACTGTGTATGCAGACAGTGTACAAGGTCATTGGTACACTGCCATTTGTGTACACTGCCATTGGTTTGCACTTGGTTTGCGCCGCTATCCTTTCGCATTGTAGCGCGCGAAAGCCACACTCATCCATGGCACAGAAATTGCCACCCCACTCTGAAAGGGGGATACTGGGGGGGCGGCAGCTGGATGTTTCCATATAGCGCCGTGTATCCGACCCTTCGTCCCCTACATGGACATGCATTTGGCTTTCCTCATCCAATGTGTGTAAAACACAGGCACAATACATGTGGCGTCACAGTGCATTGCATTCCTGGTGCACTGTAGCGTGGGGAAGCCACAGCACCTTCACGACCAACAAATGATGCATTCACTCCTTTAAGGTTGAGAAAGCATCACATCTCATATCAGCAAACTTCTCCACCCACCTGCTTCTACCTTGTCCTCACTTCAGGGTGGTTGAATGTCAAATTTTGTCAGTATTGATCAAGTTTCTAGCGTCGGACATATTGCGTCGGACATATTGCGTCGGACTTCAATGGGCTGGGCCATTTCTTCTAGTGCAAAATAGATTCAGGCAGCTTGGCAGGGAGAGTACCTTATTATTGCCATTTGTCTTTGAAAGTTCCTGGTTGGACTTGGATCACGAGATAGCCTGGCTCTCAGGATTGCATTTCTACAGTCAGATATGTTGTTGGCAATTGAAAGTGTGCTGGAGTCATCTCAATATTTAGGCTGTTTAATTAGAACCTTGACAATAAGTAGACCATTGGCACTTAACTGGAAGTGACAATAATCATAGTCGGACTTGGTTTTGAGCTTGCAAATCAACACCTTGATCAGAATTGTACATGAATCTTTGGTGGATCATTCTTCGTCAATAGCAGTGAATGGAAGAAAGCAGCAGAGTCTCACTTTAATCATTTTCTGTTTATGTTTGGGTCACTGAGGCAAATCTCCTGGGCAAATTGAAGCGCCTTTTCCCAGCTGTGCCGGACTGCTCAGACTCAGTCAAGAGTGACAGTTGGCCCTGCGCGGAAGTGTAGCGCACATACTTAGAAATCCATTTTGCAATGTATTTCTATTGGTTTGCGCTTGGTCTGCGCTTGGTCTGCGCCATTTTCACATTTTTTTTAAAAATATTGTCTCTCAAGTCGAGAGAGATTGGAACCACAGGAAAGCAAACATTTTCATTATTGGGATCATTTGTGAAGACGTATAGTCTATAATGACTGGACACATATTGAATCATTAAACTATGCAATCGACGAACAATTTAGTACAATTTGGAGAGGTGGCGCAGACCAAGCGCAGATCAAGCGCAGACCAAGCGCAGACCAATAAAAATACAAGATGAAATGTTCTTAAACTTAAATATTTAAGTGTGCTACACCTCATTAATCTAAACATTCATTGTCAGGAAGTGTAATTCACCTACTTAGAAACTTAGAAATCCATTTCACAATATATTTCTATTGGTCCGCGCTTGATCTGCGCCATTTTATCAATTTTTGAAGAATATTGTTTCTCAAGTCGAGATAGATTGAAACCAAATGAATGCAACTAATTGCTGGGATCATTTCTGAGGATCAAAGAAAATGTCGATGGTGCCTACACATTCTCAAAAACCATTTGTTTTTTTTATACAAGAAACAATAGTTTGGTACAATTTGGAAATGTGGCGCAGATCAGTGCAGACCAATAGAAATCCATGCACCTGTGCACAATTTCTGTTTGCTGCAGGTTTGGTCAATCGACCACCAAACCCAATTCATGTGTATTGATGTCTTGGATGCAGCAAGCCCTGCTTCTGTGACAGAAAGGGGGGGCCAGGTTCAGAGGTTGAGAGCTTCAGGGGACCATTTGAATCATTATGGACCATGCACTTGAGGCAATGCTGGACAATGCAGAACGGATTAGTAATTTTGGGTTTCATTAGCATTTGTTGCCTTCAGGGAGCGCATAGTTTGTGAAGGCCTGGAATTGCTGCAGCTGCTGCTCCTGACATAGTTTATATCATTGTGTTTGTGAAGTGGTTCATTTGTGGGTTTTCGGACATATGTTTAGGTTTTCAATCACTTTTTTCTGGAGCACACAAGCCTCAACAACTGGTTTAAGGTGGTTCTGGAAAGGCAGCAGGCACATGAACCCCCCGTCAGTGGGTAAACTTGTTGAACTTGATTTGCTGACCTGCTTGGAAGCCATTTGGAGCTATCTCCGTTTTGACTTGAAGCAACTTAAAGCACCACCAGTCCTAACATCACAAATGTAACTGACCAGATACAAACAACAAAAAAACATTTGACGATTCATTTCTTAAGGGCTCAATTAGGTTTCTCATTCAATAGTTAGTAGCCTTTTTAGTGGCTTTTATGTGGTTAGTTATGGGTCAATGAGGACGCTCTTAACAGACGTTTTTGCATGAAAGGGACAAACATGTGTTTACAATTAGGGCACTATACTGATCTGCTACTGCAATGTAGGTAGTCAGTCTTAGGAAAACTGTTCCCCTCGACAGTGACCCACACCGACACCACAAGATGATTGTTTTTGACATTCACATTCATAGTTGGACTGACCGGACAGTTTCACATCGGACATCATCAGCTGAGCCATGAGTCAAGTCGTCTTCGATGGTGAGCTGGTCCAGCTGTACTCTGCGGCCTGCAATGTTCGCATGACGCTCGAGCAGGCCAATCGCTTCCTTCAGATGGACCAATTGATGCCTTTGGGTTAAAAGATTCACAACGCTTTTGTTTGAACTTACTTCACTTCAGGATAGTTGTCATTGTTCAATTGTTGTGATAGTCATTGATGGGTTCTGTCAGACCAGTAATAGTATTTAATACCATAGAAGTTGTGCTTGTTTCACTGACTGCTGTATTTTGTTTGTGGTACTGTCAGCATTTCTAGTAAGTATTTGACTCAGTGACGGATGGACTGGACAGACTGACTGACTGACTGAGGTGCGTGAATTTCTTAAAGAGATTGTCGGACCAGCATCCCAGAGTGCAAGATGAGATCAGAAAGCCGTCCCTTGACAATTTGTTTAACATTGCTTTGGACTGGCTGTCTGTTGGTTGCGCCTATCTGCACTTTCAGTGCTCATTCATTCATGTGCTCAGGTTCTATCCAAGAGGCTCTTTTGCAGTTTCTATGTCGGACGCTGTGGGACATCCTTTGCTGAAGTGTCTTGGTCTTGACCTGAAACAAAACTATTTGGGTTAGCTAGTTTTGGCGAAACTCATTTCGTGCTTAACTTGCCAGGATTGCGACGGACAAACTCTCAGAGAACATCCGCGAGCGGATGGAGGACTATCGTGGACGTTGCGAGGGACAAATTGATCTGGACCGGTGGAATCAGTGGTACAAGGACGAACCAATCCATTTGGTGCCGGTCTTCTATGCTGGACTTATGTGGTGCATGCAGCACTCCTTCACCTCACTGGAGTTCTTCGTAAGGATTCGCCAGGGAGATGACGGCAACTTGGACCACATTTTCACATTTGTCAACGCCACTGAATAAAGTTGGTTGAGTGACTGTGAGTTGTTCATTATTCTCATTGGCTTTTTATTAGGTAGTCAGAGGGATCATTTCTGGGGACTTGTTATTTGGCAGCCTATGTCATCCCAGGACCTGAGGAAGCAGTCTTTCAGTGCTGGGGCGTTTTGCTCGTGCCAATGCAGAATGTTAATCCTTGATGGACAGAGCACCTTGGGACTCAGGTGTTGGTCGGACAATGTCAGGACTATAAGAGTCGGACTCTGTTTGCAGTATGCTGTTGGACTATTTCAGACTGGAGCAAAGTCTCTCATGAACATCACAGGGTGTCGTTGGCATGGAAAAAGGTTGGCGCCGCATCAGACAGGGACAGACAGTGAGAGATTGCAACGTTTTATATCCTCCAAAATGTTTGAAAGAAATGATGAAACTCAGGGGTTGCAGGTACATATATGAATAGTATTGCATTTCCAACTTCCATTGGCTTTCCTCAATACATGTGTCACAGTGCATTGTATTCCTAGTGCATTGTAGCACAGCAAACCCACACCAATGCATGACCTTCACCATCCTTTGCATATCCTCCTTGTCTCTTTACCATTTTTGTTTTACTCACTAAAACACCTTCATTCTTGCCAGGATCATATTTCAACAAAAGCCTGGCTACCAATCAAGGTTGATTTATGCAATTTGTTCACATTTCATTACCATTTGATGCAAGGTACTCATTTCTTTTCTTTATTATTATTTGAAAATTTTTGCTCTGCTAACTGTACTAATGATACATGCTGACATTTGGGGTCAAACTTTGCTGGATTCCATGCTCTTCCCTGGTCCCTGCCCTTCCCTGGTAATGGTGCCGCCCAAATTGTTTTACCTAGCGTTTTACCACTACAAAACCAGATCAACCTGAATTTAGTGGTTTTTGACAACTGTCGAATTGGTTTCTAAGTGACTTCAAAAAGCATTCCTGCCAGCCTACAGCTGGTCTGGGCTCTGGTGCTTTTTCTCATCAACAAAAGCCAGCCACCGGTCGCCACGTTGACTTGTGGCTGGGTCGGCGGTGGCGACGCCCTTCAAGGCCCCCATGCACCGGCTGCACCAGAGGTTCGGCTGCACAGCTGGTTCGGCTGAGTGATGAGGCCCACATTGGACCCCCCCTTTGCAAGCAAAGGACCACAAGGGAGGCACATATAACTAGATTCTTCACTGGAAACTCATGACTGTCGCATCTTGAACGGGTACAGTGCAGATTGCTGCTCACTACTCAGTCTTCACCTTGATGCTTGACCTTTGGATGTTGGTCGTTTCACGATGATCATCATGTTTGTCCTTTGAACCATCATCATCCATGAGATCCTTGGGATTTGCAAGACTCGCCTCATGGGGTGGATGTCCAGTCCAGCACGGGCCAACCCGCACAAGCCCCCAGGCTTCTTAGCTGTACAGACTTTCGGGGTATATCGACCAACCAGCAACTGTATGGGCCAACCAACCGTTTCGGATTATATGACCAGCTCTGAATTTAAAAGCACTTGTGGGAGTAGAATAACTTTGGAAGTGGAGTGAAAACCACCTGTTTGGCACTCGGAAACTGGTCATGCGAACTCGAGGCTATGGCAGACATTGCCCTCGTCAATGATCCACGGAGTGTGTACTTCTACTCTTTGTTCAAGCAAACATGATGGGAACTTGTGCAAGCCTGCTCAGTTCTGCAAATGTGATATGTGATATGCCACCCTCTATAGCAGGTACCCTAGAACATGGGTGCCTCCAAGCAAAGAAGACACCTCAGAACACGATGCAACTGTGTCCATGATCAAGGCAATAGAGTCCAGGATAGTACCTGGCCACTTGAATGTTGGACGCCAATTCCGGAAGGTGTGCAGCGTTTGTTGGTGACCTTGAAGCTGTTGCCCGCCGAGGCCCCGGGGGAGCAAACTCTTTCTTCGGTTGATTCCAAACATGGAATACACTCCAATGAACGCATCACATGGAAGTGTATGGACCACCCTGTTCCTCAAAGGGCCATCTTCCCATCTTCCCAGCATGCCACATGTCATACTCTATGATCTTCGTTGTTCATGGCTTTGCACCACTCAGACTTTCTGAATTGTCCGGCCTTGGTCCTCCCAAAATGACCAAAGCAGAAGTCTGGAAGAACCAGATGAATTGGGCCGTTGGGAGAAAGTTGAGCGTTGATTTGCAGTGTCTATTTGATCAAACAGAATCAAATAGTATCAAATAGTCTTCCACATGGACACTGGCGCCTCCTGAAACCATCGGGAATTCGGGCCTGTGCTTCTCATAGGACAAGGCCAACAAAAGGCTTGGAAGTCCAAATGCCTGAGGTCACTAGTGTTCTGTATCCTTCTCATCCCAGTTCCACTGTAGCTCAGATACCAGTCACCACCGTACTAAACCACCCATCACAAGTTCCACCTCCACTGATTCACCTTCAGAAGACACACAAATCTAGAAGGCGCGGCGCTTTGGCAAGTCCTGCGTGTCCTTTCTTTCTGTGCTCACCCTGGCTCACCCCCACCTTCTGCCAACTGGCGTTTGGCTCACCTTGCCCTTGCTAGGCCAAGCTTTCACCTGGCTGTTTGCTCTTCGTCCAATACCTTCGTGCGCGGAGCATCAAGGTGGTGGTCTTCGATATGGAGCGGACGTCGTTTGCCGTGAACGGCCGATTCAACGGACGGAGGTCGTGGGAACCGACAGTCGTCAGGGTCAAGCGACCGAACCATGAGATCTGCAGGATGACCAGTGATGACCAGTGATGACCAGTGTGTCATGTACAGCCAAGGCATGGGAAGTTCAGCCATCTTGAGGAATCTTCATGTTTTGAGAGTATTTGGATCTGGTAGTTTGAAACCACTGGTCCAAGTGCAAAGAAGATCCCAGATGTTTTGGTTTCGTTTGTCCCTTTGTCGCTTTGTCAAGTGTCAATTTCTTTTCTGTTCTGCATGTGCTTTGCCTGGTTTCGTCTTGCACCTTGGTGGTCATCGAACCTATCGAACCATGGTGGTCAACGGCCCAGTCAGGCTTCCGTTTTGTCTCCTGTCCGAGCTCAGGTTCGGTGATGGTCGACCTGGCATGACCCCCCTAACCGAACCGAAACGTTGGAGGTGACCGAACGGAGCAACAAGGGATCCCACGATCCGGAGCCATGTCAATTCTCGATCGAAGACGAACTGGAGGACTTGACCATGGGCGGAGGCCATTGTGGTGAAGGCATCCTGAAGGACGCGAATCGCGAGCGTTTGGGCGCCGCGGCCCACGCGCTTCCGCGGTAGCCTGCGGGGCTGCCTGGCATCTGGCGCGGACACGTGGGGTTGTAAGTCGCGGGGCTGTTCTGCGCGTGTGGTTGTGGCATTCTTCACTTCGTGCTCAATGTGCTGAAAAGACCTCACAAAGTGCAGTTGTTTTTGCTTTAAGTTCTATTTAGCAATTATCTCCAAATCAGGGCAATTCCGTTGGGATCTTCGTGACTGCACACGTTTGAAAGCAACCGTCCGAACAGTCCGTAGAACATCAAGTGGCACATCACAATGCTCCGCGTGTGCAGTCCGTGAACAACATCATTTGTGGTGAAAACGAACACACCCACTCAGCACATGCCATGTTTGCTACACACGCACACACGTTATTTTTCCCCCCCTCACCCACCCCACCACCCTCCACCCTTCCCAAAGTGAAGACGGCTAATTCATTGGGAATGCGTCAAAAAAGACACGATTTTCAGAATGACGCGGCAGAAGCAAATAGTAGGGTGTTGCCATGCAAAAGGTCAATGAACATGAACACTGAACACTTGTCTACTGTGACATATGTATTTGGGGTTTGTCCTACAGTAATACCTGTAACAGTCAGTAACCAATTATATATTATGATCTTGGACAAGGCCTTTACTAACCATCATCATCCATTGTTACAGGTAAGAACGGATAGACCCAATATTAACAACATGCATGTGATCACGAGTGATTTAAACACATGAGGACGCGACGAGTGATCAGACGGTGTTTCCCAGCCGATTGGCACACACATGATGGTGCTCGAGCGGCTCGAGCGCAGCAAGCGCAGCGCAGATCATCCCCATCTCGCTATGGGTATTGCTTGGGCTTGTCCTATTGCCTGCAACAGTCAGTAAGCAAGAACGTCACTACTCTAGAGAAAGGCCTTGAAGTAACCATCATCATCCACCTTTTCATTGGTGATGAGGATAGACCCCATTCCTTGGACATGGAGGGGTCCGCTGACGCCTCGTGTGCTAGTGCACCACGGTGGCACAGGTGCCACTCCGATGTCCTGATCGCTTGCCAACCTTCCGGATGAATTGAGATACCGGATCCACTCCAACGGATGGAGCGCTCAACTGGCCGGGACCGAGAACGGTGAGAAGCTTCGGTGGCCGGTCTTGGAGTGCCAAACCGGTGGGTGCGGCGGTGTGTGCCCGTGCTGTCCAGTGCTGTCCAGCTACTTTGAGGTATACAGCCCCAAGGTAGTCCCCACCACCGATGATGAACAGGGTCGGCTCGTGGGAATGTCCAGATGTGGTCTTCGCTTGAGGAGGATGCGGGCGCCTACATCGCCAAAGCCAGTCCAGACTTCGTCGAGGCCAGTCTTTCAAGAAGGAAACTCTTGAGTGGTTCCACTAATTGAGAACATTGCTTAGTGGATCCTACTAAGAATATTCTTAGGAAATATCAACTAAACTCTCGAGGCCAGTCTTTTACACTCAGGTTGAGATCGAATATGTTCCAGACATGACCGTTCAGTTGGGGTGGTTGAAAAGGGGTGGATGTATATGTATATATATATGCCATACATGGAGTGTATGGATTTAGTGACCTACTGACACGTACTGCCATAGTTTGCAAGACACCAACATCAACTTCACTTTCATCAGCCACTACCAGACTCCACATAAGAATCATAAAATCGCAAAGACATCGGACAACTGGAGATCCCTAGAGGCCGCCGTTTGCAAAGCTTACCAGGTGGCCTCACTGGAAGGGTTTTTAGATGTTTTTAGAAGCTTTTTGGCAGGTTCTTGTTCATGCCTCAAAAGGGACAGAACCCCTGTAACCCGCCCAAAAGATGCCCCAAAAGCCCCAAACGGAAGCGCAGAACGAGTTCCCCATGACTCAGAGACCACTTGCGCATGTTCGATGAGGCCCTTCGGGCGCTGGTGGCACTGGACTTCAAATTGGCGGTTGCCACCAACAGCCGCCCGGCTCACACTGACTGAATTGGCTCACTCGGAAACAAGCAGGATTCAGGATTCACAAGATGTGTGGTGAGAGAAGCATTACTGTAAGTATGGAAGTTGAATTTGAAATATTAAGATGCTGGACCTTAAAGGACATTATCCAGCAGTTTTGCACAGCTGCAAAGAAGGAAGGCAAGAGAGGCTTGGACTGCGACGAGATGAACAACTCCATGCCAGACACTCCAACACTGCATGTATGGCATATTTACCTACCAATACTCAACATTGACCAATTTCAACCACCCCAATGATACCACGTAGTGGTTAAATATATGCCTTACATTGCCTTACATGGAGAGTTTCGGCATAAGATATGCTCCTCAACAGTCTTGTCTCAATTTCGGTGGTGTTTTCTCATCTCAGCGAAATAGTCAGTCTCTCCAGCAGGGCGGGACCTCTTTTTGTGCATTTGCAGCGGTTTTGATGTGGGGGGTGCTTTCATCGAGTTCCAGGCCATTCCAGGCCGTTCTCACATTCACTGGGTGGGACGAGCCGTGCTACGCACCCAACCAGGTCTTTTCAGGTCTTTTGTGTTGAGTTCAGGGGGGACGCATGACGATATCAGGTCCCCGTTTTTTCTGCAACTGATGTTTGATTCCCTGTCTGATGGATCAGGATTCGGGTGTTCCTCCGCTCTGGCCAACAACGACACCCTGCCACCGACAAGCAAGAACAAAGGCCAAATGTACAAATAACTGAAGATCGAATCTATGCCGCGGAATGGAATCCTACTATAGCACACCAACCTATTCTTGTGCTTCCATGATCTCATCTGAACAGTACCTGGTTTCGAAGCCAAGTGAACGAACAGGCCTTGACAAAGGGTGACTCTGAGGGACCAAGTCAGGTCATCAACTGCAGGAGCTGATCGAAAGATCCTCCCGGCAAACCAAGGGTGGTCCGACAGCCTGATCCGGGGATGGGCTGGGTCAACACCCGGGAGGTCCCAACGTGTAGCTTGACCTTTCGGGTAGGTCAACCAACCCACAACATGTGAAGGTTTGTGGGAAGCGTCAGACAGAGTCCGCAAGTGATGTCGATAGGTCAACCAAGATATCCTGGTTTTAACCGTTTTAACCCACAGCCATATGACCCCTAGAAGTCCAAAGACCAGTTTGGCACCACCCAAGTAAAGGAAATTCCTGAACTCGGATATTTACATGGTCTTGGACTCCCAGAGGTATATTTATACGTATACAACCATTTACAACAGCTTTTTGAAGCGCCGGACCCCTCGCTCCAAGGCGATCCGGCAGAATATGATTTGCCTGGCCAGAGCCGGGAGTGCCATGGAGGAGTTCTAACGGGAGTGCCTTCGTGGGGATTTGTCATTACATTGGGGGCTCCTCTCCCAGAGTCTTCGATTACACATGAATTGGAAGAAGATCACTTCTGGGTCGCCCAGTATCAGGAAGCCGAGCTGTTAGCAGCACAGATGAACGCTTACGCACCTAACCATGCCCGACCCACAGTGACAAAAGAACTTGGAGTCGGGCAGTGGTGCCAATCAGAATCTGCTGCCTGTACAGTGAGCAACCATTTTCTGCTTCCATTGTTGCTGGTTTTTGGCTGCGTCCAGCCGAAGACTCTCACGCCCAAAATTGCCACCACGCCCCTTCTGTGCACATCTAGGCCCCGTGGCCGGAGAGTAGAGTTGAATCGATCAGATCCCAGCATTTTTCCGCCCTAAGCATCCAGGCCCTCAATGGAAAGGGTTTCGAAGGTCCGGACCCTTGCGTTTCGGTGTCGAGTCCGACCCCTGCCATAGAGGGCCCAAAGGTTCTTAGGGCTGTAAGATCAGGCGATCGGCCCCATGAGACGTCACGACTCTCCAGCTGTGACTCAATCCAAACCGACTCGCTACATCAAATTCTCATGGCCAATTGGGCAGTTCATGGAGACCAAATCACCCCTGGAAGAGGGGCCTTGCTACTCTTGTTGTAGTGCCTTCTACATTTTGAGAATCAACTGGAAGGGATTGTCCGCAGTCCCCTTGGTTCATTGGGGTCACTGCCACAGTGCCATAATCATTGTTTGCTAGCACTCATCCACTCCGTGTATGTCATAATATGCCTAGATTGAGGGAACAAGGTGGTTGAAAAGGGATACATGTGGGATCATCTGGGCATATTCCATTGGGGCTGGGTGTGGTTCTTAGCATCAAACACACACATACACCTAGTATTTCATGTACACATCTGACACCTACACACCTACACACCTACACACACACACCCAGCCGCCATGCCCTGGTCACACACCCTCCGTTCGGTCCCGGTCCGGCCCAAGGAGTCACATCTTGGGACCCGACTTGGCAGCTTGGAGGGGAGGGATGGACCACGGAGACGGCAGGACAGGCTGCGCCACGAGGGGATCCACTAGGCGTTCGCCTGGGCGCAGGAAGAAAGGACGGTTTCGTAGAGAAGGAGCAGTTTGATCAGCTGATCTGGGGCAGGACATGGTTGTGACTTAGAGATTTCCCGATATTTCCCAGAGCCATGACGATGGATATCAATCTGACAGAAAGGTCTTAACTATAACATGATATGACATGTGTTTTCCTTGTTGTTCTTTGGAATCATTCTGCACATTTCAGGCAACTGCTTTGATCAAGTATTGGTGCCGGGAGGCCCTCCCGAAGTTTGAGGCGACGACCGGGGACCTCGCACCGTGGGAAAACCGCCAACTTCCAGGGCCCGACCATTGGGGGGTCTATGCTTTGTATGGTCAACTCGTCCGACTGGAACATCTGGAATCACCCTTGCACTCCCGACATGGGAACTGCCTGGATGCCCTGAAAACTCACTCACATGACATGGAAGTAAGTGGAACATGGTTTTTTGAAAGACTACTTTCCTTTATAAACAGCCTAGGGGATGTTCAACTTCCATGTGATGCGTTCGTCGGAGTGTACCCTGGGAATGTATGGAATGCTCATAAACTTCAGAAGGTGACGCTTGGCTTCGCCCTCTTCGGTTTTTTGGGGTTCAATTCTCGAGGTGCCGGAACAGGGTCGTTGATGGTCATTGATTTGTAACAGACAACTAGAATGCTTTGGAACAGCCAGGGGGGATTCTGCCATAGTCTGCAAATGATATCCAAATCACTGGAGAGTTTCGACAATGAAAGAAGTTTTATATAGTTCACCCTGTATGCCGGATCCTGCAACCCCGGATTATGTTTTGCATGTACATTGTGTTATAATTTCAATGTATTTCGACTCGACTCATTTCCATAATAGTCCAAGACATCTTTTTTGGGGGGGGGGGCAACCTTGCCCTGGCCATTGGGCATGCAATGCTGATGGGCGATGTTCATTGACCAGCTGTGGTAGTCTACTAGATTCTCCATAGCAATAGGAAGAACCATTGGTGACCTGGTAGTCAGATGTAGTCAGAGTGCTATTATTTTATGATTGTTTGATTCTGTTTGTGTGTGATTCTGTTCCACTCTTGACCCGCCAGCTTCGTTGGTGTTTCTTCGTTGCTCGTTTTTTTCAACGTCTTGACCAACGTGCGCGTGTGGCTGTGGAGGTCATGGTGGGCTTTGACCCAGACCTGCATGATGATCCAAGGCTTCTAGGCAATGCTGAGTTGCATGAGACGTGACATTCCAAAAGACACAGCATCGACGGTTCTCTTGTTTGCTGTTCTTTGTGGGCTCGGAGACAAGCTTCGCATGCTGTCTGAAGTGACGTTGGACTACCAGTGTCTTGACCAGGTCGAGCCCCAAAGAACCATTGTACTGTACAGTGGGAGCGTGTGTGAGGACGGGACATCTGAGACTCATACTTGCATCCCTTGAGTTCGTTCAACGCTGGTGCTTGGGACGGCCCTGCGAAGCCAGGGAAGTCCCACCACATGCGGATCATTGCCACCCGGATGCGCGGCGCGGACGCGGAACGACATCGCTGCAGGTTGAACCACATCGCCCTGGTCGATTGATGGCGTGGATCTAGGGCCTAGGGTTCATGTACGTGGTTTCGAAAAGCCCCTTTTGGAACCGTCCGAGAAATCAACGTCAGACTGCTTTGGTGGATCGTCTTGGATGGTCCGGAAGAAATTATCATGGTCTCACTGGACAGGTTTTTTTGGTTTTTGCCTGCGCTCAGTTGAACTACATACCCAAGGGCTAGAAATCCAACCACGTGTTTTTGTTTTGTTCAAGTATCTTTACGAAACAGCCGTTCGTTTCACAAAGGATTTTAGATTCAAAAGCCAGGTCAACCCTGAAATACCTTAACTCCTTGAATGGTCGAGTCTATCCTGGTCGCAGCAAGCGAGACCATGCGCACGTCACAGGTCATGTTCTGTTTCGGTAGACCCTCGACCTGGGACAACCCGTTCCGGTGGATGACCCAGCTCTTCGGTTGAGGATTGGAGCCGATGTTCTGAAGGATCAGACTCGATGTTGAACAAACAACATGGTTCTTTTGCTAGGGAAAACCATGTTTTTGATGGGCCATGTGGGTGCCCCCTGGTATGCATTATGGCTATTCTGCATGCAAAGTCTACTTTCTAGATCTTGACTGCGCATGAAGACTGGCTCAGGCTGAGCACTACCAAGTGCCGTTTGAGGAGATGCTCCTCATTGATGACAGTGTCACCCGGCAGTCCGAGAAACACGGTGACTCCGAAGTGTTGCAAGTGGGGGTCAAGAATCAAGAATCAGGTGGTGGAGTGAGGGACCCTTGAAGCGATTGAACCCTGGATGCGAAGGAAGACTTATAACTATAACTATAACAACATGATACTTTATAATATTTTATAATGTTGCTGTATGTGTCATTAGAGACATTGCATGTCCTCCTTGTTCTGAATGAATGATAGGCAGTGTGTACCTCTTGTTTGGTACCTCTTCTTGCCTCCATGCGAATTCTCCAGGGCCCCAGTCACCTGGAGAATCCGCAATCCATCAGGCTCGGAACCTGCGAAATACCGATGGCTGGCAAGGAGCGCGAGAACGGTCCGCACCGCGCACGTCGCTTCTGGGGGGGTTTTCTTTCGACTCCGAAGCCTGTGACGGCACGGCAGGGTCGTTTGACACGTTTGAGCGAAGAACTGCGGGGCAGCGCGAGAACGGCCGTACGGGGCGTCCACTTGTCCTTCTTTCCTGAATAGTGATCATGCAGCTCCGTCCTTCTTTTGCATACAGGGCCCCAGCAATTTGATAGGTGTTTGAACAAGTGATGTTGGGCCAAAGTCATCAAGAGAGAACATAAGAGCAGCTATCGATCAACGTGCTCCCAGCATTTATCCTATCCTCTAGCATATGATTGACAAGGAATGGCCATGTATGTCTGAGCTGACTGATGCTTCATATAGTGGTTTGTCCCTACAGTCTAGAGTCTATTAAATGCTGCTCCACTTTCAACCTTTCCGAGTTCCGACAATTTCTTTCGGAACTCAAAGAGGATGGTTGTTCGATAAGACCCTGCAATCAAAGGAACTGAAAGGATTGCTTTGCGAATTGGCGAATTGCTATTCTTGGTCATATAAGCGATCCACCCTACCATTGCTTTTCCATCCACAGTATATATGCCTGAACCCTCCAAAGTACCCTCAAATACAGGACATGTGACATGACTTCATCAAAAGAGGTCCTTGTACCCGCGTTTAGGAATTCTCGGGAGTGCTTTGAGTGATCCTCAATATTTTTGGGTGGGGTGAAACTGCCTGTTTGCGACCAGGGCTTGAAATGCTTTTCTTCGCTTCCCACCCCAAAACCCGACCCTTCATGCTTTGACCGCATTCTCCCGGGCTTTCTCGACGACCTTTGCGGCGCCGCTGCGCTTTGCGCAGCTCCCAGGACTCCTGGTGCGCGAACCCAAAGTCGGCTTCCGCTTCGAAGACTGCCAGAGCTGAGGTCGAAAAGGTCGCCCCCAGGTCGCCAGGGTTTGGATGGGTTTGGATGGGTCAAACATACCCTTTCTATGCCATGCTGCAAGGAGAGGCATGGGGTGCTTTGGTTGGGTCGCTTTGGTGCGGCTTGTTGGGGGGGAGTACCAATGTCCAAGACACCTCCAACACCACTTTTTTTTCCTCATCTTTTCCAGGCATAGGTTCTAGCACTTCTGGCCCTGCATAGAGTATGGAAACTTACGAGGGATCAAAGCACTACTGTCACAAGAACCAAAGAGTGTTAGCATTAGAATTTGTTATGTGTTTTTCTTTTCAGAACCAAAGAGTGTTAGTGTTTGAACTTGTTAAAGGCCATTGTGCCAAATTGTTGGATGATTCGCTTCGGGCAGGCGCGTCCTGGTATAAAGATCGCCAGGATGCACCAAAACACAATTAACATCATTGTAGAGGGCCGATCACTCCTGCTGCACCTGTTGCACCACGTGGCTTTTTGTCAACGCATGGGTTCCAGACTCATGGGTTGACGGGGTTCCAACTGGTGAACCACATGGAGAAGACCCTGGATAAACATGATAAAACCTGGGGTTCGCTGGCTGGATGTGAAGTTTTTGACTTGCTTGAGGGAAGGATCCAGGAGGGCCCGGGAATCTGCCTTTTGTAGGCCACTGAAGGCTTCTCTTGCAGGTCCATTTTCGTATTCCTGATGCATCCTACATCCTGGTCAAGTTCGTGGGGACCTTCCAGTCACACATGCCAGCCTTTCCTGAAGGTCCTGAAAGCATGAACACGGAAAACCAGGTTTAGTCGAAGGCGCTCGTAAGAACAGAGATCCTTCCGACTGGATTCCAGCTTTGTTTGAAGCAATCATTCCAGCCAGGCACGTGCAGGGTATATAGTGACTTCTTGTAGAAAGGATAGTGAAAGCATCTTCCTGGAATACAGCAAAACACACCACCTAGCAGCTCTATCCACTACACCTCCTTGATTCTGATGGATCGCCCCACGGTTCATCTTCCAAGTCCTTCCGGAACGCACGGTTCGCTTCCGCCGTATCGAGAGATCCCGCTTCGCCGTCGATCGCGGTTCAGTCCCCAGGTCCCCGGATCTCGGTCATGTCGGAGAGCGAGAAGCGCCACGCCAAGCAGTCGAAGAAGGCCACCGAGACCGGTGCCGGTCCCGGACGCTCCGCCTCTGGACCGGGCGGGTTTGAAGCAAGTGAAGGTTGGAGTTCGGCGGGAGGGACCGGGTGTTCGGAGTTCTGGCGGAGTTCTGGCCGGTGGTGTGTGGGGTCTATAGACATGTGACTTAAGGTGTGCAAGGTGACAAGGTGGGGGAGTCACCTCAGCATCTTCCCCTCGAATCGAATCAGGTTCACTCATGGTAGGCAGCCTGTGCCGTGCTGCCACGTGGAGCGTGTCCATGCGGCGCAGGGAGGTCCCAGACACTTCATGGAAGGTGTGTAAGTATATGGTTACATTGGCCAATCATTGAGGTAGTTGAAACGGGGCTGTCTGGGGCTTGATGCAAATGGATGCGGAGCTTCGTCAGGGGCCCGCACGTCCTTGCCGGAAAGTGTTGCACCAATTCTGATTTTAGAGTGCAGTGGGTAGTCTGAGTACATATACTATAGATATATAGTCGCTAGAAATAGGAGCTATGAGGTCAAATACTTACAACTTACAAGTCCCCACCATGGATTGATCCGCACCTCAGTGATTTAAGCTTTGACATTGAGTCCAATGCCGCGATCGAGCTCCACTTTCGCCCAAGCGAATGATACACATCACTGACTTATGGGGTCTAGACCATGCTTTGGAAGTACTCCAAGACCATCCAAAAAGGAGGTACTTGGAACCTAGAACGTAACAAGAACACAGAATGTCCAAGGGCTGGGATGAGAATTCACAGCATTTTGACTGGAACAACTGGTTTTAATAGGGAACAACATAAAATCAACAAGTCCTGATACTTGTCCTGGAAGCCCAGGCTAATGCAAGTTGGTAGTAGTCATTGCAGATGGACCCCTTAGCCTTGAGCCTTAATTAGTCAAATGTGAAGAAACTCAAGCGTGTTCACAGCGCCCATGTGGAACGATCTATGCAGCGACACAGCACCCGACTCTATGTACAGATTTGCTTTGGAGGCTTTAGGTAGTTTTCGCAACCTAAAGGCAGGTGGTAGCCAATCAGAGTCCGCGGACGGCGGTGCTTGCATAATATTGTTTAGCCGTTTTTTTTCCCTTAGCCTTGTTTTTTAGTCTGAATCCCTTAGTACAACAAACAGTTTTCGGCAGGAACCATTACAGTAAATCAATGCTGGTTTCTGCGGATGCTTCTAGGATTTACGTCCAGTGGTGCTCGACAGGCAGCCATACGTGAGAATCGGCCTACAGGAGAGTGGGGATCTCAGCGCGTGGACGATTCACTGCGTCTACAGGCAGTTGCATCGATCGTTAAATCTTTGGTTTGAACATTAGGTAGTTATATAAACTCCCTAGAACTCACATGGAAGTGGACACCCCCCCCTGTTTGTAGAGGAAACTCGTTTTCCAGGCCATTTTCCGCTTCAATATTATATAGTTCCAGGGAGTGTAGCGGTGCTTCTGCAAGTCCAATGCTATGCTGAGATGAAGGTTCGTGGGCCATCGCTCCGGCCAGTTGTTGCGACAGTTGAACAAAGCTACATGCAGGAAAGACAGCTTATAGCCTATTAGCAGCGGTTTGTTTCGAGCATTTCATGAAGAACAGTACAGATACCATGGAAGACCCATCCCGGTTGTTCGAAGTGAGCTTTTGATATCATAGGGTCCAGGTCACCTGGGCCTGTAAAAGGTCACTGGCTGGCACTCCAAAGAGGTCACACATGAATCATTAGCAGACAGTCTTTCAGTTTCTCATCATGATCAAGATACATCGATTTGAGGGATGCGTTACTCACATGGAACCCATACAGGAAGCCAACTAGGAAGCACTAATTACTAGCACCACGGAAAGAGGGTGTCCATTAGCCCCAAAAAGAGGTCAAGGGGTGTCCATTAACCACCCCGACTGGGGGTCCAGGTATACATCCATTGCTACCGTTTGGATCCATTTGGTGTTTCAGGCGTTTCTGAGATTTCAGGTCGGTGCCCACAGGTTTGGTCTCTCCCTTCTTAGAAGCTTTGGCATTTTTTTTTGCGGCAAGACAAGCACCTGTGTTGTGAATCTCAGGGGTTCTTTGATTTCTTTTACCATGGTTTCATTTGACACGGACTAAACATACTAAAGGAGAGTAGATCAGGGAGGGTGCAGTGAATTTTCTCCAAATCATGTAAAGCCACAGGCGGCCCTCCAAAAAGAAGCGACAACTTCCACTTTCGCACCAGTCTTAAACAATGGATTTTGACCACACCTCATATGGATTCATATAGGATTTTGTGGAATGCGCATCACTTTTTGCTTGGGTAACCACCCCATCCCCAGCTTCCAGGTTGGCCCACATGGCAGCACTCCAGCCGGGATGCCCACACCTGTGAAGACCAGGGGCGATAGATCTCGTCCTCTCATGTCGTGGAGGAGTTCTGAGAAAGAGGGGAGCAGATGTAAGATGGTGTATGATCCTCCTTTTTGATGAAACATGTGCCGGACTTCAATCCGGAACGTGTTCAGCCCGATTTTCCAAACAAAAGCCTAGGACCCTGAAAAAGTGCCGGTCTGAAGGTCTAGGAGTCGCAAAATAAAGAACCTGCTTGTGACACTGAACACGGCTGAGGATTGGAGACTAGGAGTGTCCATGGTCAACTTATTGCTCCAAAGCACCACCTCTTTGGACGTACAGTAAGCAGAGTAGATGGCACTGGCATCCCTGGTGGTTGGGTGGTTTATATGGACCCCCCATCTGTCGACAGACATCTAAAAGACATGTGCCATCTAAAATCACAGTATAGAAGAAGCTGTTTGTTCTCTTGACATATGTTGCTTCTTGACCATGCTGCCCATGTCCTTGCATGTGGTGCACATGGTGCACACCCACTTGTGAACCAACTGGCTGGTCAGGTACCATGCGCAGTACCTTTCTTCTTAGCACGGTCGTTGCCACATCAGACTCTACCTTTCCTGTGACCTTAAGTCGGTCGCACCAGCCGGAGAAAAGGTCACCTCCAAGTCACCTGGAAAAACGGGAGCTGAAGAGATGTTTTTCATGTACTATTTTGATCATATAAGATCATTGACATAATAGTAAAAGTGAGATGGTCATTATAATGTAACTAGCTGAAGTAATAGTAATTAGTCCATTATTAGTAGCTGAAGTCATGTACTAATTATCATAAATGGAACCACTACTGTAGTATTTCGGATAGACTGTAGCCCCTCAAGGTGGGCTACACCTTCGTTGGGCTCCCCGAAGGTGTCAAGACCCAGGAAGACTCACATGGAAGTGGAGTGCACCACCGGGCTGGCTGAAACGAAAAAGAGAGTGGTTGAGGTCGTGGAACACCAGCTGATGGAGCCTGGGAAGTGACCCGTGGCTTCCACCATATTCCGACGACCAAGCCACTCCCAGTGGATCCCAGTTACCACTCTTTGGAACCAGGGATTGTAAGTGTATGGTTTTAGTCTTTGGAACCACTGGTTACCAGCTATATTAGTGGTAACACGTGGTAACTGGATCCCCTGGTACTGGTTTGGGGGGTTCCATGTGGTTCGAATAGCAGGGAAGTAGGTCCTGGACATCGCAGACAGCTCCGAGGTTACTGGCCACTCTGACTGACGAGCCCGCAGCGGCTCAGCCAATCGATCAGTGATGGCTTGCGCCTGGACCTTTCGTTCCCTACTAAGTGACCTGTCAAATTGACGGCATGTTAACGTGGCCTCATCCTATCCCAAGTTCGGCCTTTTCTGAAGGTGGTGGAGGACCTTGGGAATTCGGGATGCTTGCCCCCGGCCGACGTTTGCGACGTGTCCTCGACGTGGCCGCAGAGACTTGTGATTTGTCAGCGAAGCCAAAGCCTCAAAGCCAAGTGA